CCTCTGTAGAACCTGTTGTCGAACAATTAATCTCCTCTGTAGAACCTATTGTCGAACAATTCAAATTTTTATTTAACTGTAAAGACCACGCGCCTCCAACTTTGCTTATTTCACTATTTGTGGTCTGATGCCCATTTCAACTTGTTTACTTGGCAACCTATTCCCAGAAGCGGTTTTAAACCAGCCACTGAAACTATTTCCTGCTAGTGTTTCTCAATGTAAAATTCACACCCGTATTTACTGCAAGATCATTAGTCAGGCCTATTCTCAGAAGCGGTTTTAAAGCAGCCACTGAAACTATTTCCTGTTGGTGTTTCTTAAGGTAACATTCACACCCGTATTTACAGCAGGATCATTAGTTAGGCCTATTCTCAGAAGCGGTTTTAAAGCAGCCACTGAAACTATTTCCTGTTGGTGTTTCTTAAGGTAACATTCACACCCGTATTTAGTGCAAGATCATTAGTTAGGCCTATTCTCAAATCGTAAATAATTATAGTCTGATATACCTAATCTCACATTTGGAAAGTTTCGGTTTTCAACCTCGACCACTCCTTTTATTAACAATGCCACTTTCACGCAACCTCTTTATGTCCTACTGAAACACAGAATCTTACCCCATTTATTGGTTTTATATTGGTTGGATGACACTACGTGATTCTACTTTGATTTAGTTCATTTGTACATGATTGAGGGACGGCATTTCTGTAGTATTCGCTTTGTTCTGCTCATCGTTTCCATGATTAATTCCATACTCCAAGTAGGTCGGTTGTTCGAAGTTAAAGAAACACTTAGTTTTGTTATTTACACGTTTTACAATCTTGTAACTGAAGATAATGGTAGCATTATATTGTACTGTTAGTTTTTGATTAATAGTCAGCTAAGTATCAGAAAACATAACAAAAAGACAACATAGTAGAGATGTAAAGAAAACTTTGGTCTAACGAAGACTTTGATATGTTTATAAATACTATTTTAGAACACTCTTCACGGTCCAACTGCGTGAGGCCATAATATGTTCTTCTGTTTATAAATACTATTTTAGAACATTCTTCAAGGTTCAAATGTGTGAGGTCATAATACGTTCTTCTGTTTATAAATACTATTTTAGAATATTCTTCAAGGTCCAACTGCGTGAGGTCATAATATGTTCTTCTGTTTTTAAATACTATTTTAGAACATTCTTCAAGGTCCAACTGCGTGAGGTAATAATACGTTCTTCTGTTTATAAATACTATTTTAGAACATTCTTCAAGGTCCAACTGTCGTAGAGGCCATGATATGTTCTTCTGTTTATAAATACTATTTTAGAACATTTTTCAAGGTCCAACTGCGTGAGGCCATGATATGTTCTTCTGTTTATAAATACTATTTTAGAACATTCTTCAAGGTCCAACTACGTGAGGTAATAATACGTTATTCTGTTTATAAATACTATTTTAGAACACTCTTCAAGGTCCAACTGCGTGAGGTAATAATACGTTCTTCTGTTTATAAATACTATTTTAGAACATTCTTCAAGGTCCAACTGCGTGAGGCATGAAATGTTCTTCTGTTTATAAATACTATTTTAGAACATTCTTCAAGGTCCAACTGCGTGAGGCCATAATATGTTCTTCTGTTTATAAATACTATTTTAGAAAATTCTTCAAGGTCCAACTGCGTGAGGCCATAATATGTTCTTCTGTTTATAGATACTATTTTAGAACATTCTTCAAGGTCCAACTGCGTGAGGCCATAATACGTACTTCAAATTGTACCGTCACTTTAAATTGCGTGCGAAAATTGGCCCTGTGATAGAGCTCTGGATACCACAAAATATTCTCCCCACTTTAAGTTGTGGGTGCAAGTTGGCCCTGTGATAGAGCTCTGGATACTACAAAATATTCTCCCCACTTTAAGTTGTGGGTGCAAGTTGGCCCTGTAGTAGAGCTCTGGATACTACAAACTATTCTCCCGACTTTAAGTTGTGGGTGCAAGTTGGCCCTGTGATAGAGCTCTGGATACTACAAAATATTCTCCCCACTTTAAGTTGTGGGTGCAAGTTGGCCCTGTAGTAGAGCTCTGGATACTACAAAATATTCTCCCCACTTTAAGTTGTGGGTGCAAGTTGGCCCTGTAGTAGAGCTCTGGATACTACAAACTATTCTCCCGACTTTAAGTTGTGGGTGCAAGTTGGCCCTGTGATAGAGCTCTGGATACTACAAAATATTCTCCCCACTTTAAGTTGTGGACGCAAGTTGGCCCTGTAGTAGAGCTCTGAACACCACAAAATATTCTCCCCACTTTAAGTTGTGGGTGCAAGTTGGCCCTGTAGTAGAGTTCTGGATACTACAAACTATTCTCCCCAATTTAAGTTGTGGGTGCAAGTTGGCCCTGTGATAGAGCTCTGGACACCACAAAATATTCTCCCCACTTTAAGTTGTGGGTGCAAGTTGGCCCTGTGATAGAGTTCTGGACACCACAAAATATTCTCCCCACTTTAAGTTGTGGGTGCACGTTGGCCC